GACGGACCCCAACCCCAAAGTCAAACAGTTCACCTCTAAGGCCCTAAACACCCTGCACACATCAGCGTTTATGTGCGTAACCTTGCGAAACCAGGGCCGCACATTAATGTGAGAACGGCCACACCAGCACCTCTGTGTTTCTCAGTGGGAAAGACGATCAGACTTGACTGGGCGCGTTTAGCCACTTTAGCACGTCTACAGTGAAACTAACCAGTTAAATAGCTTTGTATTTACCGTCTGCACAGGCTGATCACGGCAAACGCAAGGATTTCAAAAGTACATTTCAAAACACTAATTGACAGTCTTTCTGGACCTGGGCTCTTTGAAACGATACATAACTGCCCCAGGAACATGTGCTGATGTTAAATTCACAAACACAACAATAGATGCATGATATCGATGTATTTTGATGGGGATACACGCCTACACTCACACAGAGCATCAAAAAAAAAAGCTTGGATTCTGTTTTCTGAAATCTACACGCAGGACATGCTACTCTGTTCACTTTTAATGCATTCTAAAAAATATATATATGCTTCCAAAACACGCTTAGTCTTTGTTCATGCTTCACAAAGGCTATTAAAAGTGTAATTTTTTTTTCTCTTTATCACCCAGCTAATACTAACAATATACAATGTTTGCTCATCTTATTCTATTCAACCTGCTCCTAATTGTTTGATACTTAGATAGATAAATTCAAATTGTTGTATCAGATTCGGTGTGTAGCTCCTTTAACGCTGTGTTTTAATATATTTTGTGTTATTGACATGTTTCACTGGTGAGTCTGTTGCTGGAGGTTTAATGGTTAGTTTCTGTTGGACTTGTTGTATCTGGAGCTTGTGGAATGTGCTGACTCTTGTTTCATGAATTATTGAAAACGCCGGAGACAGAAGCGAATCTCCACCTCAACAGAGCACTCTGCAGAAGACATACACAAGCCGTGGTTTAACACATCAACGCTCTATACGCATTTACTGCATTAGAAGTGATACAAGTGAGCTGTATTGGCAGATTTAAAGGTCCTATATTGAGCAAAATTAACTCTTGTGAGCTTTAAGTCGTGTTATAATGTTTTTATCTAATTTTTGGAGTTGCATTTTGTTTCATTCACACACATTTGAGTAACCCTTTATTATTATTAATCTGTTTACATCTCCAAAGCTAGTGATAGTTTTCAAGTTAACAACTACTTTTACCAGAGCTGAAATGATCCAAATGATTCTAGTGAAGGTGTATGGCATTTAAAAACATAATGGAGCACTTCCTGTATTACCACATGACATCACAAGGTGGAGCAGAGTGTTTTCTGTTTGAGAGAAGAACTAAATAAGCAGGATTTGTGTGTAAAACATGTGAATGAAACAAAACAAAACAACACAGATCAGAAAATAGTGTAATATGGGCACTTTAAATCAACATTAAAGGTGCACATTGGATCAAAATTGGGACTAAACTGGGACTAATTCAGAACTAAACCTGATTTAGTCCCAACGAGAAAGCCAGAAAGTGTTGTCTCTGGTTTAGAACTGGTTTAGTCCTGGTTGAGTCTTGGTTTTGTCAGTGGTTTTAGTCCCTGTTAATTGCTTTTTTCCCCCCTCTCTGGTTTAGTCCTGGTCCAATCCTAATGTTTTAATGATGTATTTATTCTGTTTTAGTTCTGTTTAGTCTCAGTTCTAGTCCTGGTTTAGTCCTGTTTTATCCTGGCTTGTCCTGTATCCTTGGTTTTAGTCCAGGGTTAGTTCTCTAAATCCTTGGTTTATTTCTGGTTTAGTCCAGTTTTAGTGTTTTTTTCTAATCCTGAATTAATTCTGGTTTAGTTCTGTTTAGTCTCTTATTTTAGTCCAGTTTTGTCCTGGTTTGGTCCTGATTTGGTCCAGTTTTATTTATATTTTTTTACCTAATTCTGACTGAATCCTTGTTTGGTCCTGTTGTTTAGTCTCTGGTTGAATTCCAGTTTAGTCCTGTGTAGTCCTTGGTTTATTCCTGGTCTAGCCCTATAGTCCCAGGTTTAGTCTTTCATTGTAATTGCTTCGATTCCTCTGTAATTTCCCCTTGAGTACTGTTTATTGAGTGTATTAATAGGTGCTTCACTGTAATGGTGGTGTAGTGGTCCATCGCCGCGGTAACAGCCTCCGAGCGTTACCACAGCAACCCCCTCCAGCTTCAGCATCAGTCAAATTCCTCCGGAGATGGATCAGTTTCAACTCCGGGGTGATGTTTTTTTTTTTATAGATTTATTATTAAGTGAGGAGCAGAGCCAAAACTGAAGATTTCGTGCTGTACCTGATTTTTTACATTTTTAAAAATGCAAAAAACAGAACCAGTGCATTTTAAACAGTTTGCAGTGGTACAATATTATTCCTTCCATGCAATCGGAGCATCATAATTATTCACCGGGACGAGTTTATAAGCGCTTTTCACAACTCTCAGACACCAACGTGGAGTTTTGCAGTGGCGGTAAATTTAACAACAACTAGCATGCTAACTAGGACTGGGAATAATCAATATACTGCACATGATACTCTATGTTATATTACTTTTTTTTATAACCAAATCCATTTTAGCAACAATATTTCTTTGTTAAACCACTACCTGTTCAAAGTTACAGTATTTTCCAGACTATAAGTCACTTCAGAGTATAAGTCGCACCAGCCAAAAAAGAAGAAAAAAACATATATAAATCGCACCGGACTATAAGTCACACTTTTTGGGGAAATATATTTTGTAAAATCAGAGACCAGGAACCAACATTTCATCTGGAAAGGCAAGATACAGTAATAACAACAGGACAGAGAACAACAGGTTAAATAGGCGTTAATATGTTAATGTAACATATTAACAGTTATTCAGATAATTACAGCATAAACAACAGAACATAAGTTTACCAATCTCCCGATCTCACTCCAAATCACTAAATCCACTGAATTCTTCATCCTCTGTGACACTTCTGCCCGACCTTCGGTGATAAACCATAGATCCATGAGGTAAACAGAGCGCCGCATCCTCTTCTATGTAGCTGTCGTCAGACTCAGCATCAGTTACAGTTACAATTATTCAGGCCTTTCTGAATCCCGACAGGATGGTTTCGATTGTACTCTCCATCCCCACTTTCCACCAGTCAATCCCAAGTTTCTCATTCACTCCAAACTTTCTTTCTGCTGCTCGATTACTGTTTTCGGCTGAATATTTTACTATTTGCAGTGAGACAGCTGCTATTTCTACAGGAGATATGCGCAGTAGAGTGAAGTGACAGTGGTACAGGAGTAATAGTAGTACTAGATACTGACACACAGACCTAGAGTGCCCTGGCTCTAGCCCCCAGCTGTCAGTCTGAAATTTTTAATATATAAGTCACACTGGAGTGTAAGTCACAGGAAACACCCAAACCATGAAAAAAGTGCGACTTATAGTCCGAAAAATACGGTAATATGAAAAACATTGATTTAAATCATCAAAACAGTGAATATGTGAAGCGTATTGCATAAACAAGTTTCCTTACACTAAATTAGCAACAAAAGTCTCAAGAAAAAACTCATGGCGATATATTGATACAGCAGCTCACGATAACGATACTGTATTACCAAATGTAGTAACACAATATATAGATATTTTGATAATTTTGCACACTCCCATAATAAAACCTTTATAATTAGATGCAGACAGCACATTTTTTCTTCACATATTTGACCCCAAGAGCTGCTTAGACAATGTATCTGTACTGAGGTAACCCAAATTTTGCTCAAATATATGGGAAAATATTGGGTACCGGACTTTTTAAAAACTTTTTATTTGTGCTTTTTTAAAATTTTAACTAATGTGCATAAAAGAACAAACAATCTGTGGGGTTCTACAAAAAAAAAATTGAAAATAAAATACCTCATACACTGGAGTGAGCTTTGTAAATTTACCAGCTTTCAGTCCTCAAATATTACATTATTTTTGGGTACAGGACTTTAAATATAAATCAGTGCTATCAGTGTAACAAAACTGGACTAAATAAATGGTTTTCTGAAGTATCAAAATCTGGACTGAACTTCCTTGGACTCAGGATTATCTTTTCCAAGCATCCAGACCTTGACTTTTAAACTGTATCATTTTATTTATGACTATTTACGACAACTTAACATTTTGTAACTTTTCTTGTTTTTTTGTGTTTGAATTCACATAAAATGAATGAATTTGTGTTTCCTAGAACTATTTTTGTCTAAATTTTACTACCCAGATAATTTTTATTGTTGGCTACATTTGGTTTGGTCAAGAAGAACTTTTTTACACTATTTTAACAAAGGGCTCATGTGATAATATCAATGTAACTTTACGTAGATGTTGTGTAAAAGGTCAGAACAAGTTCATTTTAAGCTGATTGTAATGGTCCAGAGTTATTCTTCACTCACTTTATGCATTCTGAACATCCTAATTATTCACCACAATGAGTTTATGAGCGCTTATCACAGCTCTCAGAGAAGAACAGTAACTAACATGCTAACACACACTTCCTGATTAATGGATAAAAGACAATAAGTGCTTTATAATCAGACACAGACAACAAACAGCTTATACAATACATCTGTACTGGGGAAAGACACATTTTTCTCAAATAATGGGGAAAAAATTCAGGTAGACGGCCTTTAAAGGTGCATTGTGTGGCTTTTCTGCTTGTCTCCACGGAGATATTATTGCTTTGTCTGGAATGTTTCGCAATATGGTATCTTCAAGGAGACTGAAGCAGGTCAATTTACAGGTCAGATCTGAGGAGAGGCACCTGCCCACAGTCAGAATGCCTGTTTTTCAAAGTATTTTTGAGCTATAAAACCACCTGTAATTGAATAAATGTAAGGTAGAGCTGTTTAATGCCATGCTGTGGAACATTCCAGGCAGAGCAATGACATCTCCATAGAAATAAGGATGTTTGGGAAGAATTGCTATGAATCGAAAAAACACAAAAGTTCATGGTTCACCTTTCTCTAACCTTTTGTTGTCCTTTCTTTTGTTGTTTTCAGGTGAAGAGGAGCTGCCATGTCGGCCTCCTCTCTCCCCCCTCTCCTCCTCCTCTTCCTCCTCCTCCCCCCTCCCTCTCCCGCCTCTCCTCCTCCCTCCTCCTCTTCTTCCTCGTCTCCCCTTCCTCTCGGCGTGGACCTGGAAGGCACCCCCCTCTCTCACCTCCTGCTGGACCCCCGCTCCGGCGTGCTGTACGTGGGGGGAGTGGACCACCTGTACCAGCTGACCTCCGACCTCCGCGTCACGGCTCACGTCAAGACTGGACCACAGCTCGACTCGTCCCACTGCCTGCCCCCCATCATGGTCGACGAATGCCCCACGGCCACGCCCACCCACAATTACAATAAGCTGCTTCTGCTGGAGGAGGCGGGGCCAGAGGGAAATAGGGCGGAGCCAGGCAGCCTCATCGTGTGTGGGACGCTCTTCCAGGGCATCTGTGAAAAGAGGTCAGATAATTCAGAATCAGAATTTATTTGTCATTTCAGTATAAAAAAATACACAGAAATTAAACACTGCACTCAGGTCCCTGTCAACAGCAGAATAAATAATAATAGGAACTAGAAAAGCACTCAGAGAGCGCAGACCTCTGCCAAGGACTACCCCCGTTTTTTATATAAATTGCGATAAAATCAGTCTTCTGGATCAGATCCGGATCAGCCTTTGGAATATGAAAGACGATCCCATTGTCCATCCCTGAGTCAAATTTCATGGGGTTTGGTCAATAATTAACCGAGATATTGAGAAACAAAATTTTTGGCCCCATTTACCACAATGTTAACTAAAATTTCAAAGTGATCCAGAATCCAGGATTTCTTCCGGATCACCCCCAAAATGAAATCAGTTCTTCCTTTTCACATTTCCAACAAATCCTGAAAATTTCATCAAAATCGGTCCATAACTTTTTGAGTTATGTTGCTAACAGACAAACAAACAAACAAACAAACAAATGCCGGCAAAAACATAACCTTCTTGGCGGAGGTAATAAATAGTTTAAAATATCTTATGTCAAATGCAGTCTTTAAAAACAGCCACCACCTGCTCCCATTCCAAGTCCGTGTTATTTTGTGAGGTGCATTGTACACAAACATTCATTTTACTTATGTAGTCTATGATGTTCATGAAAATGAAATTGCAAAGTCGCACTATGTCACTTTTCTTGTTTGTATCTTAGGAGATTACATTGCCCGGAATGTTTCACAGTGTGGCATTAAACTTGAAGGTTCTATATTACGCAAAATTGACTGAGCTTTAAGATAATGTTAGATCATTATTACCTACTCTAAAACATACCTGGAGTTGTGTTTTGTTTCTTTCACACATGTTTGAGTAACACTTTATCTATAATTCCAGAGTAGACGTTTGCGCGGGACAGAATTTTCAGTCCCGCTCCTGCTCATTCCCGCAAAGAATTGTAATTTTCAGTCCCGCTCCCGCCTGCATCTGCAATATTTTGTCCTGCTCCTGCCCGCAAATCTCGCAAGATGAGGATGTTCGCGTTCTTAAGCTCTATCAAACACGGAGAAGCGGAAAAGAATTGTTTAAAATATGCGCAAGATTATATGATGTTCGCAAATTTAGGCTGCTTAAAATGTTTTTCTTAATGCCAAATAAAATATACAGCACAAATGATGTATGATAGGCAAAAATGAATCATTTGTATATTTTACTTCACATTCATATTTAGTTTGCTGGACTGCAGTTTATCATCCCACCCGCTCCCGCATTGTCCAGTCCCGCTCCTGCCCACACCCGCGATGAGCTTTCAAAGTGTGTCCTGTGCTGCACTGGGAGTGCAGGGCTCTATTCCAGAGCTCAAAATCCTCTGTTCCACTTAGTGACATCATATAGTGGTAGGTTTCAAGTTAGCAGTTTCCTTTTGTTTAATAGAGACTCGAAATTCCAGGGTTGAAATTATCTAAATGATTTTAGTGAAGATATATGAAATTTAAAAACACAGTGGAGCACTTCCTGCATTACCACATGACATCACAAGGTGGAACTGAGTATTTTCCGTTTGAGAGAAGAACTCGGTCTAAACATGCAGGGTTTGTGTGTTAAACATGTGTGAATGAAACAGTGGGTTTGTTTTCGATGAGGAAACACAATTATAACGGATCAGAAAATAGTGTAATATGGACCCATTGATTATTGTGCATTTATTTGATGATTCTGAAAATATCCTGAAAAACAGGTGTCGTCTCTCCATAGATCCGACCTGTAATTGCTGAACATTCCAGTCAAAGCAATAACATCTCCATGGAGACAGACCCACCACCCGAAAAGTTACATTCATTTCTGAAAAACAAGTTTGAGTTCTGAGGCATCACAAGTACGCAGCAGAAGCCCCTTTTCAGACACCAAGAATTGTGAAAGTTGCACTGAAATTTGGCCTTTTGTGAGTTGTTGGTCATTTGACAGTGAATGAGGCGACGATTCCACACTGTCTCCATGACTGTGGCAGAGCTCTCCAGTCCGTCAGAGGAGGAGCAGAGACAGCAGTGAAACCAGGGCCCAGATTTGTATCCAAGAATTCATTTGAAATCAGAGAAGAGATTTTGGTGACACTGGCGAAAACTCACTTTCAGCTAGTGGTTCTGTGAAGAGTTTATCCAGCAAAAAAAAAGACGTGTAGACTGACCTCGATTTAGCATGAAAATCAGAGCAGCCGCTTATTTTGTTAAGGTGATATAAAAGTTCATCTGCCAGTATGATGTTGCTGTCTTGAATCGTCACCCTGAATGGCTTAAATATGAACTGCTTTTAATTTAAACTTAAAGTTGCACTGTGTAGCTTTTCTGGTGGAATGTCTACTTGTTCCATGGTGATGTTTTGCTTTACAGTATGACATTAAACAAATATATCTTGTATTTATTTAATTACAGATGTTTTTACTTCTCAAAACTACCTAAAAACATCCATTATTACCTCAAAGGCTCGCTTCTCCACAGATCTGACCTGTAACATGGCCTGGTGATGTGGCGGACCCTCTATCGGGAAAAGTTACACAGTGCACCTTTAATATTTTTTCACTGTCTACATGTTAAAGAAAAGGATAATGTACCTTATGTAGATTTTTACTCTTTTTAAGCTTATACTTCAAGGGCCTGTATGTATTTGAGCAAAGTTAGTCTTGCTTTAGTACAGATATATTGCTGTGTACTGTAATCAGGAAGTGCGTGTTGGCATGCTAGTTGTTGGTAGCTTTGCTGTGTCGGCAAAATCTGCTCTGAAAATTCGGAAAGATTTGACTCTATAGAGACAATAAGAAAATGTTCAACAGTAAAATAGACATTAAACAGACCTACCTAGAAAAAATATCTAGAAAAACAATCCAGTCCACTTTATTTCTATAGCACATTTTATAAACATGACAGTTTCCAAAGTGCTGCACAGACAAATTACCATATTTTTCGGACTATAAGTTGCACTTTTTTCATAGTTTGGGTGATCCTGTGTTAGGTTTATCTAAACATTAAAAACAAGAAGAAAGACAAGAGATTAATTCAGTTTTACTCATGAGGAGAACGGGCAGAGAGTCCAGGCCAAGTCTCCACACGTTCTGATGACTCAAGGCCGCTCTCCTCCCTTTTATTTAATTAGGAGGCCCTAGTTACAGAATGATAATTCTCAAGGGGAAGGGGAAACCAGCAAAGACATAATAAGAAACTGGTGCAGCTATGCATAGTACAAACAGGAGGTGCCTTAGGTTTGGTCAGACACCATCATAACTCTTGCATGTGTGACAGTGGGAGTTGGCTTCATGTGAGGAATCATCTCGAGGTTCACTAGAGCGATAGGACACTGCACACAGTTGTCAAACACACAGAGGTTATTCAACAAGTGACAAGTGATTGGTACATTATAAATCAAAGAATTGTAGTACATAAATGGTTAACTCATAGGCCTAGAATATCACACAAGTATTTAGCAAATATGGGATAATAAAATTATTCTGACATCCTGCGACTTATATATTAAAATTTTCAGACTGACGGCCGCAAGAGGCTCTAGTCTTGTGTGTCAGTGTCTAGTACTACTATTAGTCCTGTACCACTGTCACTTCGCTCTACTGCGCATGGCTCCTGTAGAAAAAGCCGCTGTCCTGCTGCAAATAGTGAAATATTCAGCTGAAAACAGTAATCGAGCAGCAGAAAGAAAGTTTGGAGTGAGCGAGAAACTTGTGAGGGACTGACGGAAAGCGGGGATGGAGAGAGCAGCTTCACGGGAACAGGGCGGGTCCACTATGCAAATTTCCTGGAAGTCACTGGATGAATCAACAAAGCCTGGACTTCAATGACAATCGAAACCATTCTGTCGGGATTCAGAAAGGCTGGAATAATTCTACCTGGAACCGATGCTGAGTCATTGTGCATGTTTTGGCTGGTGCGACTTATACTCCGCAGTGACTTGTAGTCCGGAAAATACGGTAATACAATAAAAGGCACAAATCATAATTAAAAACAATAAATAAAAAGTGTGAAAATGCACAAAGCTAAAAAATATAAAACAATGAAAAAAATTAATTAATAAATAAAAGCCAGAGAGTAAAAGTGGGTCTTAAGATGAGACTTATAACACTCCACGGTGGGGGGATATTCTGACAGGCATTCTGACTGTAAGTGGGGTCGCCTCTCCACAGATCTGACCTGTAACTTGCCCTGGTTTGGTTCACGTGATGGTAGAAAGGTTTAAATGCAGACTCTGAAACATTTCAGACAAAGCAGTAACATCTCCATGAAGAAAAGTAGATGGCGGACCTGAAAAGATACACAATGCACCTTTAAGTATTGTGTAACATATTTATAGATATATAATGTCACAAATTAGCACCTAGGATGGCCAAATAATGCACCTTTATTGTCTTATAAACAGTAGGATAGTTCACTCCTTTTGTATTGTACATTAGCGTGGGTCATTAGCTCTCGTTCACTGCACTGCCCTGTCTCTAACACAGACAGATCAGAGCTTTTAAACCTGTGAGACTTTAAAACTGTGCTAATATCAACAGGAGCTGACTCACCACTATCTCTAAGCACTTAATTACACCATTGATTACTCCATGGATCGTGTTAATGATCACTGTTAGAGGTACACTGCCCAAATCTTCTCTAACCTCTCCTTAAAAACACAACAGCTTCGGGATGGTTCATGGACTGACATAGAAGTGTCTGTGGTCCATTTCATACAAAAAATATGTCTTCTCTAAGTAAACAAAAGACTGTTTATAGTTAACAAATCAAATCATATCGAGTCCTTATAAAACTTACCATATTTTTGGACTATAAGTCACACTTTTTTCATGGTTTGGGTGGTCCTGCGACTTATACTCAGGTGCGACATATATATTAAAATTTTTCACACTGACAGCCGACAGAGGGCGCCCTAGGCTTGTGTATCAGTATCTGCTACTACTATTACTCCTGTACCACTGTCACTTTGCTCTACTGCACATGTCTTCTGCAGAAAGAGCCTCTGTCCTGTCGGTATCATGTCAGTCGATCGCCGATTACTTCTGTATCACTGAAAATTAAAAATTGAAACAAACTTATAAAGACGACTGAGAAGACTGAACACAAATGCCCCCAAAAAGAAAATCATATTTTGCAGATTACAAGCTGCAAGTAGTGAAATATGCAGCCAGAAACAGTAATCAAGCAGCAGAAAAAAAGTTTGGAGTGAGCGAGAAACTTGTGACAAGCGGGAGGGTGCACCATGAAACTTCCCTGAAAGTCACTGGATGGATTGACAAAGCCTGGACGTTCAGTGAAAACCAAAACCATCCTGTCGGGATTCAAAAAGGTCGGAATAATTCTAATTGGAACTGATGCTGAGTCTGACGACAGCTACACAGAAGAGGAAGTAGTGCTCTGTTTATCTGCGGAGGTTGTGGAATTGCTCAGATGTGACACCGAGGATGAAGAAATCTGTGGATTCAGTGATTTGGAGTGAGATAGAGAGTTTGGTCATTTATTACGTTAACAGCCTGTTATTCTCTGTTCTATTGTTAGTGTGTCTTATAGTCCGGTGTGACTTATATATGTTTTTTCTTCTTCATTACGCATTTTTGGGCTGGTGCGACTCCAGAGTGACTTATAGTCCAAAAAATACAGTATTTTAGCATTACTTTGTCTTTAATATCTCTTGCTTTGTCGGGGACTGATTAAACTCATCTGTGTCTTTTCTTTTCCAGGAGTCTGTCAAACATCACCGAGTTGTTGTACCGCACCACAAACCCGGTCGACACGCAGTACGTCGCCGCCAACCAGCCCAGCATCTCCACGGTGGGCGTTATCATCAGCACAGAAGGGGTGGGGCCTGCTACAGGAAGGGGCGGGTCCGGGATGCGCCTGATGCTGGTTGGACGAGGCTACACCACAGGCCCTGGCGACATCCCACCAATCACCACACGCCGCTTGTCTCCTGTAAAGCCGCCCAGAAGAATGTTTTCCCAGGAAGATGAACTGGGAAAACTTGTGGTTGGGAGCTATTCTCAGTATAATAACCATTTTGTGAAAGCGTTTGTGCATGGGAAACACGTTTATTTCTTATTTTCAAGACGAGCCACAAGACCCAAACTAGAATACCAGACGTATGTTTCCAGACTGTGCCTTTCCGACCGGAGTTTTTATTCTTACGTTGAGATGCCGTTGTCGTGCGAGGGCGCGTTCAAGTACAATTTGGCGCAGGGGGCGTGGCTAGGGAACCACACAGGAAGTCCCGCCCTCTTCGTGGTGATGTCAGCGGGACAGGCCTCGACACCGGTGGCCACGAGTCGGACGGCGTTGTGCGTGTACAGCATGGAGCAGCTGGACGCCATGTTGAGGAGGGCGCAGGAAGTGTGCTACACCGAAGCAGGAAGACAGGAAGAGGTCTACATCGCCTACCAGGTCTCCTCCAAGTGTCTCAAACTGCCCAAGGTAAAGAAATGCACCACTTGGACTTATTCAGGTTTAGCTTAAAATAGAGTTGTTGACAATAGGGATGTAACAGTAACCAAAATATTGTTATATCATATCATCAAAATTAAGTCTCAATATAATATCAAATGTCATCTCAATCAGTGTTGGGAGTAACGAGCTCTAAAAGTAACACATTGATGTAATGTTTTTTGCTGTAATGCAGTAATGTTCGGCATTACAGGGAAAAAATTTTAATATTTTACTCTGTACAAATGTCAGTAATGCGCATTACAATGCTTTTTTAACCTGGATTAAAGTGGTGGGTTTTTCATTTTTCTTCATACAAATTTGCTAAAATCACTGCGATATCAGCAGCGGTGAAATGCCATCATTATGGTTCCGAATGTCAGAGGTGCACCCTGTAGATCGTTGGGTGACCATGGGCAAAAAGACTGGTGCGAACTCCACGCTACACGGGGCTAATCACAGCTGATGCCCGATCGCACTTTGCAGACACCCAGTTCCACGGGCTCGGGGTTTTTTCACAGGCGGTCCTAGATTCCAAGTCCTAGTCCAAGATTAGTCCTGGTTCAGTCCTCAGGTTTAAACCTGGTTTAGTTCTAGTTCAGTTCTGCTTCAGTTCTGGTTTAGTCCTGTTTAGTCCTGGTTTAGTCCTGGTTTAGTCCTCCTGGTTCAGTCCTGGTTTAGTCCTGGTTCAGTGCATATATGACACAAAAATTCGGCATCTTTGCACAGTTATTTTGATGAGAATAACTTAAAGTGCTGCAATAGTCCTGTAATATTTTACATTTTAAATACAGTAATATTGTAATGTAACAAATTACTTTGAAATGACAGTAACAAGTCATAAAAATAACTCATTACAGTTTTGAAGTAACTTGCCCAACAATGACCAAAATTTATCAATTTATATGTTTCTTTGCTTAGATTTATTGTTATGTTGGAGCAATAGCTCAAAACAGCAGGAAAGCAGGAACTATATAGACCATCCCTGACCCTTTGCTCTGTTTTAGTGAAAACAACATTGAAAAAATCATTATTATAAGCTCTTTTAAATCAGATTCATCACGTGTACATGTGAATGAATGAGTTGACTCTCTGCCCTTGAGTTCCTTGACGGTGGAAAAGCGCTGTATAAAACTGTGACCATTTACCATAAACCTTGAAACTTCAACAAAGGCTTTTCATCGCATTTTAAAAGAAAAAAAAAATAGCATATTCACAATTTTACCTCTACAAAACATCCCATTAAATACAGTGAGATACATATCGGGAAAATATCGCACAGATGTAGAGATTATCCCTAGTTGACAATGAACTAACTGATAAATAATATCTAAATATACAATTATTTTAGCATTTGTATTTGACGTTTTATTATTTACACAATAGTTTGAAAGCAAAAACACTTTTCGGATGGCCTGGCTCTCCCCGATGTTTGCCTGTAATACCCCACAGTATGGCATTAGACTTATCTATCTCCCTGGCGACAAGCAGGTGGAGCCACTTGATCAGATTACGGGTCAGATCTGTGGAGAGGCGACCCCACTCACAGTGAGAAGTTTTTGAGCAATAAAAGCAGAGGTAAAGAAATAAATGTTGAATAGATTCATTTAAAGACATACAGTGTACATTTTCATAGAGATAAACACCTGACGGACACCCAACAAAAAGTTACATAGTGCTCCTTTAAGATGAAGTAAAATCCATGTATCATTTGTTCATTCGTTGAACGGATAACGGACTGAACCAGGACTTAACCAGGACTAAACCAGGTCCAGGACGAGACTGGGACTGAGACCAGGACTGAGATCGGGACTGAGACTGGGAACAGGACCGGAACTGAGACTGAGAAATAACAGATAACGGACTGAACCAGGACTAAACCAGGACTAAACCAGGTCCAGGACTGAGAGCAGGATTAGACCAGGCCTGAGACTGGGCCTAAGACCGGGACTGAGACTGGGACCAGACCAGGGCTTTAAACGGTTTAGTCCTGGTTTAGTCCTGTTTTAGTCCTGTTTCAGTCCTGTTTCAGTCCTGGTTTAGTCTGGCATCACAGTTTAAGTCACGGAAATGGGAAACGGGGAATCAGCCGTTATCCATTTTTTCCATTATTCATTTAAAAACAACATCAAAAACTGGTTTTGGAGACAAATAATGAAGAAAATAGTTGTTTTTTTTATTTTCTTATTTTTTGTTTTATATTGAAAAACGAATGAACGAATGACACATGGATTAAGTAAAAATGTTATTATCTTTAGTTAATTTAACACACAATGGAAGAAAATAATGTTAAAATGCCAAGCAAGAATGTTTTAAACTGTGGTCAACTGGGCTGTTTTAAAAACACCAGTGATTTGTTGCATTTAGTTTTTAGTGGCATTTAGTAGTTATTATATTCTTGGAAATGACGTCGTCTTTTTCTGAGAAGCAGAATCTCTGAAAAAATGCCTGGAAAGTGATCACACAACACAACTTCAAAAGCAGATTTAACAAACTGTCGGCGCTGTACGCTTTGATCCAAGTGGTACTGGTGATGTCATAGTCTTCCTCAGCGGTGATGTCACAGGAGACGTCACAGATTAAGCGCCGGGCGACATCTGCAGCCCCCGACCCTAATCCAGACGAGATTACACTTAATCTGCAGCATCTGCCTCAGACGTGACCCACATCTGTACGAGCCAACGCTAAAGGAGCAGTGAATGTGGCGACGCAACGGACATGATGTTTGTGATATGAAACGGATGAGATTACTGTGACAGAGACAGGGACAGACAGGAGCAGACAGAGCAGACAGGAGCAGAGACAGAGGAGCTGACAGGAGCAGAGACAGAGGAGCTGACAGGAGCAGAGACAGGAGAAGCTGACAGGTGACAGAGAGCAGAGGAGCTGACAGGAGCAGAGTGACAGGAGAGACAGAGGAGGACAGCAGTGACAGGAGCAGAGACAGAGAGCATGAGAGGAGCTGACAGGAGCAGGGAGCTGACAGAGACAGGGAGACAGCTGACAGGTGAGCAGAGACAGAGGATGACAGGTGACAGGTGCAGGTGCAGAGCAGAGGAGCTGACAGGTGCAGAGACAGAGGAGCTGACAGGTGCAGAGACAGAGGAGCTGACAGGAGCAGAGACAGGAGGAGCTGACAGGTGCAGAGACAGAGGAGCTGACAGGAGCAGAGACAGAGGAGCTGACAGGAGCAGAGACAGAGAGCTGACAGGAGCAGCTGACAGGTGCAGAGACAGAGGAGCTGACAGGAGCAGAGAGAGGAGCTGACAGGTGCAGAGACAGAGGAGCTGACAGGAGCAGAGTGACAGGTGACAGGAGCTGACAGAGACAGAGAAGCTGACAGGTGCAGACAGAGTGACAGAGAGACAGAGGAGCTGACAGGAGCAGAGACAGGGGCAGACAGGTGCTGAGACAGGAACAGACAGGTGCAGAATCAGGAGAGCAAAGACAGGAGCAGAAACAGAGAAGTAGACAGGAGCAGGGTCAGAAGAACAGACAGGTGATGAGCCAGAGGATCTGACAGGTGCAGAGACAGAGGAGCAGACAGTAGCAGATATAGAGAATCAGACAGGTGCAAAGACAGAGGAAAAGACAGATGTGGAGACAGGTGCAGAGACAGGTGCAAAGACAGATGAGCAGACAGGTGCAGAGACAGATGAGCAGACAGGTGCAGAGACAGGTGCAGAGACAGGAGCAGAGCCAGAGGAACACTGTAGAATCGCTGCTGTAGATAAACTTGAGTTGATGTCGGTGTTGTTTTTTTGAAAAGCACCTGGAGTGAGCTGTTTTGTAAAACACTGAGGGGGTGATGTTAATGCACGAGAAGTATCTAAACTTGATAATATATTTCCCTTGACACTCGGCTGTTTCCTGGCTCCAGCTGGGAGTTGCTGTGAGTCCCAAATGGCGTCTGACTGGTGCGATCTGCGCTGAATCTATTAGTGTCTTTCACAAGTGTAAGTGCCTCTGCTGCTCCGTGGACCTTGAAACAAACAATATGACAGAAAGATGTGTTTTCAGCCAGAGCCATTCATTTGTTACATTTGGAGTCGGGCTGGACGGGCAGAAATAAGTGGGAGAAAAAAGGGAATGAAAAAGTGAACTTAAACACACGTACACAGAGAGATCAGGAACCCAGATATAACCAGATTAACCACTCTGCCACAATAACACAGTGAGGATACGCTTACGAGTTTATTTCTTTATTTCAAACGCGTGTATTCAAATTAAAATACAACTTTTAACTTGCACTGTGTAACTTGTCCGATGAAGAGTCTGTCACCTGCTTGTCTCCATGGAAATGTGCCTCAAATGTTCCACAGTATCACCGTAAACTTAAGAATCTTGACTGAAACTTGAAAGTCACATTAGAGGTTAGATTTGTGGAGAGGCGACCCCACTCACAGTGAGAATTTATGTTTTTAAATATATTTTTGAGCAATAAATAACACCTGTAGTAGTTGAATAAATGCAAGACAGGTTGGTTTAATAAAATACTGTGGACAATTTTAACCAAAACATCTCCATGGAGACAAACAGGATGCGGACTCTATCCAGAAAAGTTACATAGTGCACCTTTAAAAGTGAAAAAATGCATAGCACACTGAGATGGCTGATGTCCAAAAAAGTTTTATTTTTAAATAATGTTTCTGCAAAAAGATCATTTTTCTTTTCTTCCACAGTGCGAGTGCTGGGGTACTGTGGTCCAAAGCAAGAAAAATATCTGACGAAGGCTTTTTTTGTCGAAATGTTATTTAAAAATAATAAAGCTTTTGGACATCGGCCATATGAATGTGCTATGCATTTTTTCCACTTTTATTTTACTGTTCCTTGCATTTGCAAATCTACAAGAACTTTGGTGTGTGCTTTCTGTTTTCATTTGACAAAGTTGCACCTTTCACAGTCAAGGTAAAGAAGGTACATAGAAGAAAAATATACCAGTAAATAAATAAGTAATAATAAATTTAATTCAAAGTACAGACATCCTGTATTAACTTGTTACATTCAGTTATTGTACATCATCATGTTTAATGTCATATTTGTTACACAGTAAGTGCCCGGCAAATATAACATTTTTTCCCCCATATTCTCTAATCAATTTTAAAATACTTGGTTTTAAAACTCAATCAAGCTTTGTTTCAGACTGCAGTGGGTCCATAAAGAACATTTAAATACAGACAGAAGACAAACACAACAGTAATAACATTCAACTGTTCACCTCAAGTGTCATTATTGTTAATCACACTTCACATAAACCATAGGCTACAGCACATGAACCAGGACTAAACCAGGACTGAACCAGGACTAAACCAGGACTGAACCAGGACTGAACCAGGACTAAACTAGGACTGAACCAGGACTAAACTAGGACTGAACCAGGACTGAACCAGGACTAAACCAGGACTGAACCAGGACTGAACCAGGACTAAACTAGGACTGAACCAGGACTAAACTAGGACTGAACCAGGACTGAACCAGGACTAAACTAGGACTGAACCAGGACTAAACTAGGACTGAACCAGGACTGAACCAGGACTAAACTAGGACTGAACCAGGACTAAACCAGGACTGAACCAGGACTGAACCAGGACTGAACCAGGACTAAAACAGGTCAAAACCAGGACTAAACCAGGACTGAACCAGGACTTAACCAGGACTAAACCAGGTCAAAACCAGGAATAAACTAGGACTAAACAAGAACTAATTTTGGACTTGAAAGCGAGAGAGAGAACCCCAAGCCCGAGGAGCAGGGCGTCCACAAAGCGCGATTGGTCGACGGCTGCGTTTACTCCCCGTGGGGCGCGGAGCTCTGTGCTGTTCCTTTCTCCTGCGATCACCTGACAGTCTACATGGGCCGGTCCCGACACTCAGTCCTGGTTCAGTTTTGGTTTAGAGCTGGTTTAAACCTGGTTTAATCCTGGTTCAGTCCTGGGTTAGTCCTGTTTTAGTCCTGGTTCAGTCCTGTTTTAGTCCTGGTTTAGACCTGGTTTAGTCTTGGTTTAGTCCTGTTTTAATCCTGGTTTAGTCCTGTTTTAGTCCTGGTTCAGTCCTAGTTTAGTCCTGGTTTAGTCCTGGTTTAACTCCGGTTTGACATTTCACGTGGAGACAAGTGGTTCAACGGCCACTAAACCCCTGAGTCAAACCCACAACTGCTTTACTCACAGTATCCACAATAAAAAATACATTTACAAGTTCCTTCTTTTGAGTTAAGTTATTTTTGTGACATCCATTTTCTATATTTCCGCCAGCTTTTTGTTTCCACTTCCCTCCGTGATCTTAGAAAATATGAAAATAAAACCGATTATAACCTCAGTTTCACTATGTACCAGATTTTTTATTTATTTAATAAATTAAAATGTTAAAATGCCCCAAAGCAGATTTTAAGGTCAAATTGAAACCGCTATTTTCTTTCTGCACCCAGTTAGAGAGTGTTTTATCATCCTGCAAACCCAGAAGTGTGTGTTAGCATCCTAGTTGTTGTAAAATCAACTAGTTCTGTTCACATTTTTCATTTCAAGTGGCAAATTTTGATCTTTCTTTTCCAAATCTGCAGCTCTTCTGGGGTTTTGCAGTCTCAGTGGTCCAAGGAAGGAAGAGGGGTGACAGGAAACTACTTGTATTTCATTTCCTGCGTCGTGACCTTTGACCCCTGACCTCTGTGACCCCTCCTCAGTCTGGTTCAGGTGTCTGCGCTGATTGTAGATCCGCTGCTGAATTGAATGAGTTAATCTGTATTGATTCAGACCTGGTTCAATCCTGGTATAATTCTGGTAGCCCGGGTTTTGTCCTTTGTAGTCCTGTTTTTTCTCGTGTTTTGTTCTTGGTTTAGATCTGGTTTGGTCCAGGTTTAGTCCTGGTTTAGTCCTGGTTCGGTTCTGGTTTAGTCCTGGTTTAATCCTGGAGTAGTCCTGGTTTAGTTCTGTTTTAGTCCTGGTTTAGTCCTAATTCAGACCTGGTTCAGTCCCGGTTTAGTCCTGGTTCAGTTCTGGTTCAGCTCCGGTAACAACCTAGTTTAGTCCTAATTTAGTCCTGGTTTTGGTCCTGATTTAGTCCTGTTTGATCCTGGTTTTGGTCCTGGTTTTGTCCCAGTTTAGTCCTGGTGTAACCCTGGTTTAATCCTGTTTCAGTCCTGGTTTAGTCCTGGTTTAATCCTATTTTAGTCCTGGTTTGGTCCTGGGTTAGTCCAGGTCTAGTCCTAGTTTAGTTCTGGTTTAGTCCTGGTATAATCCTGGTTTAGTACTCGTTCAGTCCTGGTTCAGTCTTGGTTCGGTCCTGGTTTAGTCCTGGTTTAGTCCTGGTCCAGTTCTGATTTAGTTGTGTTTCAGTCCTAGTTTAATCCTGGTTTTGTCCTGGTTTAGTCCTGGTTTAGTCTTAGTCCTGGTGTAGTCCTGTTTTAGTCCTAGTTTAGTCCTGGTTCAGTCCTGTTTTAGACCTGGGTTGGTCCTGGGTTAATCCTGGTTTAGTCTTGGTGTAGTCCTGTATAGTCCTGGTGTAGTATTGGTATAGTCCTCTTTTAGTCCTGGTTCAGTCCTGGTTTGGTCCTGGTTTAGTCCTGGTTGGTTCTTATTTTAGATCTGTTTCTATTGACCCAGTTAATCTCTATTGATTCTCTTCAGTCTCAGGACTCGGTTCAGTCCTGGATTGATTCCGGGGAATTCTGTGGGAAAATGAAGCTGCATTAGTCGCTTTAATGAAGTGTTTAGTGGAAAATATTGTGAATAATTTTAAATTATTAACGCCTGAAGTCGAGCTCTGTCCAATCACAGAGAGTAATTGAAAATAGCTTTACAATTTGCATACAGTGTCTTATAATATTTTCCAATAAATCATGTGGCTTATTGCTTAAAGGAACACTGTGTAACTTTTCTGGAGGAGGGTCCACTGCCTGCTTGTCTCCATGGAGATGTTAAAGTTCCACAGTAAGATCCAGGTCAGGTCTGTGGATGAGAGCCAAGCCCTCTCACAGTAAAAATGTATTTGCTTTTAAGGTCTTTAGTGATACTTTCAATAACACTAAGATAGATATGTTTAATGCCATACTGTGGAACATTCCAGGCAACGGTTTTGGTCATGGTTTGGCCCTGGTTTGATTTTTACTCAGAGCTGGTTTGGTGTAGTCTAGAATTAGTTATAGTTCAATCCTCCTTTGGTTTATTTTTTAGGATTTCACCCTGGTTTAGATCTTTAGGTTTAGTCCTGGTTTAGTTCTGGTTTAGTCCTGGTTTAGGTCTTGGTTTAGATCTTTAGGTTTAGTCCAGATTTAGTCCTGGTTTAGGTCTTTAGATTTAGTCCTAGTTTAGTTCTGATTTAGAACTTTAGGTTTAGTCCTGGTTCAGTCTTGGTTTAGTCCTGGTTCAATCCTGGTTTAATCCTGGTTTAGTCCTGGTTCAGTCCTGGTTTAGTCCTGATTTAGTCCTGGTTAAGTTCTGGTTTAGTCCTGGTTTAGATCTTTAGGTTTTGTCCTGTTTCAGTCCTGGTTTAACCCAGGTTTAGTCCTGGTTTAGCCCTGGTTTAGTCCTGGTTTAGTCCTGGTTTAACCCTTGTTTAGTCCTGGTTTAGTCCTGGTTTAGCCCTGGTTTAGTCCTGGTTTAGTCCTGGTTTAGTCCTGGTTTAACCCTTGTTTAGTCCTGGTTTAGCCCTGGTTTAGTCCTGGTTTAGTCCTGGTTTAGTCCTGGTTTAACCCTGTTTAGTCCTGGTTTAGTCCTGGTTTAGCCCTGGTTTAGTCCTGGTTTAGTCCTGGTTTAGTCCTGGTTTAGTCCTGGTTTAACCCTTGTTTAGTCCTGGTTTAGTCTTGGTTTAGCCCTGGTTCAGTTCTGGTTTAGTCCTAGTTTATTCCTGGTTTAGTCCTGGTTTATTCCTGGTTTATTCTTGGTTTAGTCCTGGTTTAGTCTTGGTTTAGTCCTGGTTTATTCCTGGTTTAGTCCTGGTTTATTCCTGGTTTAGTCCTGGTTTATTCCTGGTTTAGTCCTGGTTTAGCCCTGGTTTAGTCCTGGTTTAGTCCTGGTTTAACCCTTGTTTAGTCCTGGTTTAGTCTTGGTTTAGTCCTGGTTCAGTTCTGGTTTAGTCCTGGTTTATTCCTGGTTTAGTCCTGGTTTAGTCCTGGTCTAACCCTCTGTTCCGTTGCCAGGCGTCTCTGGTGGATTACCCGTGTGGAGGGGAGCACACGCCCAACCCCATCGCCAGCACGGTCCCTCTCAACGCCACGCCCACTTTCACCTCCACCACCCACCTGTCTGCTGTCGCCACGGCAACGGAGGCGGGACTCACCATCGCCTTTCTGGGGGACCGCGAGGGGACACTGCACAAGGTGAGTACGACCATCGCCACAGGCCTATTATGTCCCCTGGAGGCCACCGTACATGAGCATCATCAAGATCTCAAGATTTTCCCTTTCCTACAAAGATTTGGTTTGGTTTAGGTTTAGATTGGTTTTGATTTAGGGCTACACAGTATAGGTGAAAAAAAAGACAATTTTTTGGGGGGGGGGGTTGGGTTTTTGGAATTGACATTTTCAATTTGAAATTCTTTTTTTTTTTTTAAGTGAGAAATCACTTCAATGAATGATGAACTAAGGCTGCTCGATAATGGAAAAAATCATTATGACGAATATTTTGGTCAATTTTGAAATCACAATTATTCAAATGATTTATTTTTTTTTGTTATACAATGCATTTATTCAGCATTTCTGTGTAAAAAAAAAAGAAAAAAAACTTAAAACAAATAAATAAATAATGCAGAAAAACATAAATGTATCTAAAATAAACTATATGTCCAGCTGTTCTACAATCTCTATATTTAAAAAATAAAATAAATATACGTATTTATATTAAAAATATCCCAAAATAAACTTTGTTAAGCTTTTCATTTCAACGCGATTATATGAGTTTGGAGATCGTTTGTCACAAATCGAAATCGCAATAAAAAATTCAGTTGATTGCAGAGCCTTAGGATGAATTTCTAAACCAGACATGTCAAACTCAGGCCCGGGGACAAAATTTGGCCCATGATATAATTATATTTGGCCCATGAGATCATATCAAATATGTATTAGAGCTGGCCCGCTGGCTACAGATAGACTATAGAGACATTATTTATTTAAAATGTTGTTATTATTTTATATTATGTTTGTTCCGGATTCAGTGTTTAAGCAAAACTATTACTAAACATTTATTTTAATAAGAGAATGTTTAACATTACATATCTCAAAAGAAGAGAAAACAGGCAGGTGTTGTTGAAATTTTTAAATAAATATTTAGTTTGGCCTACAAATTTTAAATTTTGGTCCTTTGTGAATTTGAATTTGATCTAAACTAACATACGCAGGGCTGTTGGTCTTTAGTCAATTAAACGGTTGATTGTGTATTAGCTGACTAATTCTTTTATTTAGATTATAAGGATTTGCATGGGAAAGCAGCGAAAAGGAGAAGTTAGTGAATGAAGTTAGCTGGAAATTTGGTATTTTCAGTATTTATATATAAAAAGGCAAATTAAACTCACAATTTGCAAGTTTTATGTGCACTGTTTCCGAATATGTTTTCCTGCATAAATATTAGTTTCTGCTTGAACTCATTTGCAGATGTAGTTTTGTGAGTGCAGTTCAGGACAGATACATAGATGCTAGAGATGCAACGATATCCAAATCTCTTGGTACGATATTATCATGATTCGATATTTTAAAGAGGCTGATATAATTGTAAATGGGAAACTTTTTTGCTTTTAAAATACTATAAATAATATTTTTGGTGTGAATTATTTCCGTCATAATCCCAAAAATTCAAGTAAAAAACATATTTCTTCATGTTGTCTGCGCTGAAATGAATCATGGGATATGTAGTTCTCGATGTTTATTAGCTAATGCAACTATGAAACTTGTAATCCGATATATTGTGACAGTCCACGATATTATTGTGAGACTTTTGACGATACGATATCATGATATTTTGGTTTTTGTTACATCCTTAGTAGATATGTAATAGTTTTGAGAGATTTTAGTCTTTTCCTTTTCTTTAGTCAACTACAGCCCTAAACATAAAAGTCCCATATTAGAATGCAGATCGTACACACACTATATTTTGTACAAAGATAAAGGAAGCAGAAGAAGCGGGTTTAACTCAATATTTGGTCAAATGCGGTCTCTTCCGTCATTATTTTCTGTGATGTATGACGGTAAATGTTCTGGCTGACTCACACACACATAACTGCACAGGGAGCAGTGTCAGATTTTGATTTGTTTCTACAATTATATTTTTCCAGCAGCAGTGTTCAGCATCAGCCCGCAGGCCGAATACACAAACACGCTCAAATTAAGACAAATTCTCTTTCATTTCTCAGCATTATTCTAAGTTAAGACCCGGTTCAGACCTGGTTTAGACCTGGTTTAATCCCAGTTTGTTCCGACCTGGCTCCTGTTTTTCATAGCATCAAATATTAAATCCATTTGATATCTGTGCCAATACCCAGAATGCACCTGGGGACAGTAACCAATCAGGGGCAAGGGTTCCCAGGGGCCGCTCTTGGGGGTTCTGACACATGTGGGGGTCCAAACTGTGGGCCCCAAGGCTAAGTAGATGAGAACAGAGAGTTTCGAGCGACGCTGCAGGCGATACACCAGCTGCTGCTCTGCGGGGGTGTAAACAACAATGTTTATCAGCGCCTGGTTTAGTCCTGGTTTAGTTCCAGTTAGTCCTGGTTTAGTTCTGTGTTGCCATTGTTAAGTCCAGTTTTAGGCCTTTACTAGAGGTGGTTTAGTCCTGGTTTGGTCTTGGTTTGGTTCTAGTTAGTCTTGGTTTAGTTCTATTTAGCTCCTTTTAATTCCAGTTTTAAGCCTTTTGTAGTGATGGTTAAGTCCTGGTTTGGTCCTGGTTTAGTCCTGGTTTGGTCCTGGTTTGGTCCCGATTTAGTCCTGGTTTAGTCCTGGTTTAGGTCTAGTTAGTCCTTCTTTAGTTCTTGTTTAGTTCTAGATAGTCCTGGTTTAGTTCTTATGTAGCCCTTGTTAAGTCCAGTTTTAGGCATTTACTAGAGGTGGTCAAGTCCTGCTTTAGTCCTGGTTTGGTCCTGGTTTGGTTCTGGTTTGGTCCTGGTTTGGTCCTGGTTTAGTCCTGGTTTAATTTTAGTTAGTCCTGGTGGTTTAGTTCTCTTTAGCTCTTGTTAAGTTCAGTTTTAGGCCTTTGGTAGTGGTGGTTAAGTCCTGGTTTGGTCCTGGTTTAGTCCTGGTTTAGGTCTCATGTAGCCCTTGTTAAGTACAGTTTTAGGCTTTTACTTGAGGTGATCAAGTCCTGGTTTGGTCCTGATTTGGTCGTGGTTTAGTCCTGATTTGGTCGTGGTTTAGTCCTGATTTGGTCATGGTTTAGTTTTGGTTTAGTCCTGGTTTTGTTCTAGTTAGTCCTGGTTTAGTTCTATGTAGTTCTTGTTAAGTCCAGTTTTAGGCCTTTGGTAGTGGTGGTCAAGTTCTGGTTTGGTCTTGTTTTTGGTCCTAGTTTAGTCCTGGTTTAGTCCTGGTTTATTTCTAGTTAGTCCTGGTGGTTTAGTTCTTTTTAGCTCTTGTTAAGTCCAGTTTTAGGCCTTTACTAGAGGAGGTCAAGTTCTGGTTTTGTCCTAGTTTAGTCCTGGTTTAGTCCTGGTTTAGGTCTTATGTAACCCTTGTGAAGTCCAGTTTTAGGCCTTTGGTAGTGGTGGTTAAGTCCTGGTTAGTCCTGGCTTAGTTCTAGTTAGTCCTGGTTTGGTCCTGGTTTAGCCCTGGTTTAATTCTAGTTAGTCCTGGTTTAGTTTTATGTAGCCCTTGTTAAGTCCAGTTTTAGGACTTTGGTACTTTTGGTAAAGTCCTGGTTTAGTCCTTGTTTTTTTCTAGATAGTCCTAGGTTTAGTTCTTGTTAGCCCTGGTTTAGTTCTAGTTAGTCCTGGTTTAGTTCTTATGTAGCCCTTGTTAAGTCCAGTTTTAGGCATTTACTAGAGGTGGTCAAGTCCTGGTTTGGTCCTGGTTTAGTCCTGGTTTAGTCCTTGTTTAAATCTAGTTAGTCCTGGTTTAGTTCTATGTAGTTCTTGTTAAATCCAGTTTTAGGCCTTTGGTAGTGGTGGTCAAGTCCTGGTTTGGTCTTTGTTTAGTCCTGGTTTACTTCTGGTTTGTTCCTGGTTTAGTCCTTGTTTAATTCTAGTTAGTCCTGGTTTGGTTCTGATCTAGCCCTTGTTAAGTCCAGTTTTAGGCCTTTACTACAGGTGGTCAAGTCCTGGTTTGGTCCTGATTTGTTCCTGGTTTAGTCTTGATTTGGTCCTGGATTATGTCTTGGTTTAGTCTTGGTTTAGTCCTGGTTTATTTCTAGTTAGTCCTGGTGGTTTAGTTCTATGTAGTTCTTGTTAAGTCCAGTTTTAGGCCTTTGGTAGTGGTGGTCAAGTTCTGGTTTGGTCCTGGTTTAGTCCTGGTTTAGTTCTAGTCAGTCCTGGTTTAGTTTTTATGTAATCCTTGTTAAACCCAGTTTTAGGCCTTTGGTAGTGTTGGTTTAGTCCTGGTTTCGTTCTAGTTAGTCCTGATTTAGTCCTGGTTTAGTTATAGTTAGTCCTGATTTAGTCCTGGTTTAGTTATAGTTAGTCCTGATTTAGTCCTGGTTTAGTTATAGTTAGTCCTGGTTTAGTTCTATGTAGCCCTTGTTAAGTCCAGTTTTAGGCCTTTGGTAGTGGTGGTCAAGTTCTGGTTTGGTACTGTTTTTGGTCCTACTTTAGTCCTGGTTTAGTCCTGGTTTATTTCTAGATTAGTCCTGGTGGTTTAGTTCTTTTTAGCTCTTGTTAAGTCCAGTTTTAGGTCTTTACTAGAGGAGGTCAAGTTCTGGTTTTGTCCTAGTTTAGTCCTGGTTTAGTCCTGGTTTAGTCCTGGTTTAGGTCTTATGTAACCCTTGTGAAGGCCAGTTTTAGGCCTTTGGTAGTGGTGGTCAAATCCTAGTTTAGTCCTGGTTTAGTTCTATGTAAAAACACAGAGAGACTGATCCCTTTTTTATCTGGTGTGAAATGATGTGGTATTTCTCAGACTCGTCTCTGTCCCGGTGATCGATGACGGCTCGTAATGATCTCAGACTAATCTAACTGGGTACGGTCTAATCACTGGAGAGAGAGAGAGAGACACCAGCGTTTAATCTGCTCCGCTCTGGGGTTAGAGCCACATTAAACCACAACAGTGACTCTGAGGAAATCAACCAAAGCCAATTACCTGTAATATTTAATACAGACTTTAATGTGTGAACGGACACTCCTGATTTTACAAGTACTGCTACTCTTCAAGTAGGGATGGGCATGATTAATCGATTAATCGATAATTGATCT